AAACATGCACCCCGACACCCCAACATTTGTAGTCGACGGCTGACACGTTGGCAGCCAGGACAGCACTGTACCTTGGAGGGTTGGCTCAGATGTGTGACGAGGACAAAGCGAAGACGACGACGGACACATGTGTTGACGAGGAACGGAAAAGGCGATGAGCGTTCCCACAACCGGAATGCATGAGCGGTTGGATGAACGGGAACGAGGCGACTGACGCGATGACGAGAGGAAACGCACACGCACGCTCGCAGAGATACGTGGCGCGACAGCGGATCAGCGAAGGCGATGGAGAAGGTCGCAGAGGTGACGTCGCGCGTGCATGCGCTCGTCGGGCTGGAGCTGCAAATGGGCTGCGCCAGACCCCAGGCAGTTGTTGAACTGGCGTCGCACCCCACGTCACGCTCGAAGACGCACGCTGGCCGCGTGTGCACAAATTGGCACACACGAGATGTAAGCAGACGCACGATGGTCGTCCGATCTGCAAATCGGACGGCCCGACGCCGGCTTCGCACTGACCACTGCCCCAACCCCCCCCCCCCCCCTTCCCCCAACCCCGCCCCAGCCTGGAAAACACATACCGCCCCCCCCCCGCGCGGCCTGAAACGTCCTCTGGTGGTGCCTGCGAACCCAACGACACGAACGCAAGGGGCCCGGAGCAAGGGGCCCTTTTTTTTCATGACATCCCGACAGGGCTAGGCCACAGGGACCGTTTTGTCATTTCGTGCGCACCGTGTTCCCCTCGCGGGAATTTTGACGTGTAGCCACCGCACGATGCGCGAATCCAACCGTCTTGCGGCGACCCAGAGGGGACCCGAAACCCGCGCGCCTACAAATACGAGAGACGCCCGGGCCTACCACTCCGCATTCTGCAATTTCGCGGGGGAGATGTTGCCGGACGGACGCCTCACACTGCCACTGTCGTCAACACCAGCGCCCTGCACCGCCGGAGGGCCATAGCCGGCACAGCGAAGGGTCGCACGTCCGCCACCATGCGCGCATCCGTAGCATCGACGCACCCCGCATGTCCTCCACCTGCTCGCGTCTTCCTCTTCCTTCCGCGTCGCTGTCCACGTCATCTTCGACGTCGCGAGTCGACCTTCCGTCGACGCTTCCGGGCTCCGTCGAAAGGCGTGCCCGCCACTCCACGCATCACCCTCGCTATCGCAAAGCACATAGAAAAAGTTCAACACAGTTCAGTCCCGGTTGACGTCGGGGTTCGCACGCATCACAACTCGACAGCTCCACACGGTGAGTGAGGACGCATCCGAAAGGAGTGTGTTTATATTGGGTGGGTGGGCGCGGGTGTGTGTGTGTGTCTGTGTGCGTGTGCGTGTTTGTGCTTGTCTTTCGAGTATGCTGTACCACAGGGGCACGTGTGTGTATGCACGTGCGTGTGTGTGTTTTTGCATGTGTGCGTGCATGTGTATGATTGCTCAGATTGGACGCGCGGAGACGCGCCCGAAGGTGTGCGGCCAGGGACGAATGACATGGTTTGCATTTCGAGTTTGTTCCTGGTGTATTCGGGGATGAGTGATGTGCGGGCAAACTATCCAACGATTGCGTAGGTTATAACGTGGCACGGATTGTTGTCCGCCGGATGGTGTGTGCTCCTGCTAATATGTATTCAACGGATCAGTCACAAAAGCTCGGATCGAACAAGAGGTGACAATGTCCACACTGCAAAGGTGATGAATCGACCAATCACGAGACGAGACCAGATCATGAGCACTGACCACACTCGATTTATACTCTGTGCTGTGGGATGGATGATTAATCAACGCACGCGATATAACGTTGGCACAACGCACACGATCAATCGACCGATCACGAGTAATCTGTTCGAGTTTCGAGATCGGTAGACTGGACGCGTCCGATCCAATCGACCAATCGTGATACACGAACAGATTACTCGTGATAGGTCGATTGATCGTGTGTCCTGTCCCAATGTTATGACGGCGTTTGTTTCTCGCTCGTCTCGATGGTAACATCAGAACACACGCGGTGACAATGTGTGTGTGTGTGTGTGCATGCGTGTGCGTGTATGAGATCCTGCTGCATTAAACCGAACAATCACGAAAGCTCCGATCGAGGACGTAGCGACAATGTGTAGAATGCGCACGCGATGAATCGACCAATCACGAAACATTGATTAATCATTCATTGGTCAGATTGGGGGCGATAACATTAGGACAACACACTGCATCAATCGGGTGGATTCATCGCGTGACAATGATTAATCAATGATTGGACAGATCAGGTAATTGATGTTGTGTGCTGTTGAAATGTTTTCGCCCCCGATCTGCCCAATGAATGAATAATCAATGATTCGTGATTGGTCAATTCATCTCCTGACAATGATTAATCATCCATTGGACAGATCGGGGGCGATAACATTAGGACAGCACACTGCATCAATCACCCGGTAACCGGGTGATTGATGCTGTGTGCTGTCGTGATGTTATCGGCCCCAATCTGCCCAATGGATGATTATTCAAAGCACGAGGTGACCATGTCGAGACAGCAAACGCGTCCAACCTACCAATCGAGGAACACGAACAGATTGCTCGCGATCGGTGATTAATATAACCGCTTGTGTGTTGCGGTCATTTGCATTGTTTGCTGTTCGCAGCCGCACCCTTTGCGCGATAGATCAACCGACCAAGCAGGCGACCGACCACCAACCGAGCAGTCGATCAGTCAGTTGATCCTGACAGATTGCCTGACCAATCGATTGTTTGATTGATGTCTATCAAGCAATTTGATTTAGTTTTGCGTTCGCGAAATGTTTGGATATTCAAAGCAGCGTCAACGACAGTGTGGTCTGTCAGTCGTTTCATTCACTTCTTCACTCTCACGATCACGTTCAAAACCAATGAAAGGATTACTCGCTCGGGAAAAGATTGATCCCCATCCGTTCTGCTCAGGGCCGGAACCTCACGTGAAAGGACACAAAGCACTCCGTCTCTACCATGTTGCACATTGAACCCTGTTGGCCATCGAACCATGCTCCACATCAAACCTCAGCGTGCATCGAACCTCGTTGGATGTCGAACCTTGGCGGACATCGAATGCCTCTTGACGTTGATCCTCGTCGGTCATCGAAACTTAATGATCATTGAACCACGAACATTGCTCAGTAGAAGAAGTTCGGATTCCGGTGAAGTTCACATTTTCGTTTGTCCCTGCAGGACCCCGTAGGTTAGCTCAGCCATGCAAACGTGTCGAAATCCGCAGGCGCATCAAGGGACCGATGTCGGTCGGTTGGATATAGGAAGTTCGCCGGAATCCGAACTTATTCTGCTGACCGATTTTCCGGTATGCCAAATTCGGAGGTAGAAATGGCCAGCGACCGTGCATCCGGATTTGGGCGGACTTGTGCCGTTGTTCCAACACGCGGTGCACCCCCTGACCACAACCACAACTGATGATTTGAGAAAATGTGAAGTCCGCTGGGATCCGAACTTCAACAAAGTTTGGGATGGCGAGTTTTATATACTGCTGTGTCTCTTCCACGCAATCTTGCCAAGTTCGGATCCCGGCGAACTTCGGGTTCCCGCCTATAGTGAGACATGTTTGCGGCTCGCGTGCCAGACGGTGGTTGTGAACAGTAGCGAAGTCCGCTCGAGTCCGGACTTCACGGTACTCCAAAATGGAATCACCTGAAGGGGTTGCTCAAACACGCAAGCATGTCGAAATCCGGAGGCGCATAAAGGGACCGATGTCGGTCGGTTGGATACACGAAGTTCGCTGGATTCCGAACTTCTTCTGCTGACCGATTTTTCGATAGGCCAAGTTCGGAGATAGACATGGCCAGCGACCGTGCTTGGATGCCCAGTCGGGACAACACGTCAAGTCCCGATGCGTGTGGACTTGTCCCGTTGTTCTAACACGCGGTGCGACCCCAGACCACAACCACAACTGATGATTTATAAAAATGTGTAGTCCGCCGGGATCCGAACTTCAAGAAAGTTTGGGACGGCGAGTTTTATGGACAGTCGTGTCTCGTCCACGCAATCTTGCCAACCTCGGATCCCAGCGAACTTCGGGTTCCCGCCGGTGGTTGTGAACAGTAGCGAAGTCCGCTCGAGTTCGGACTTCACGGTGCTTTGAAATGGATTCACCTGACGGGGTTGCTCAACCATGCAAACCTGTCGAAAACCGCAGGCGCATCAAGGGCCCGATTTCGGTCGGTTGGATACAAGAAGTTCGCCGGAATCCGAACTTCTTCAGGTGACCGATTTCTCGATATGTCAAGTTCGGCGGTAGACTTGGCCAGCGTCCGCGCTTCGATGCCCAGTCGGGACAACACGGGGAGTTCGGATGCGGGCGGACTTGTGTTGTGCCGTTGTTCGAGCAAGCGTGCAACCCCAGACACCAAGTCCGCTTTGTTGTCCGACCGCGCTGAAGTCCGCCGGGATCCGAACTTCAGGAAATAGTCGAGCAACCTCGTCAGGTGATTCCATTTTGGAATTTCGTGAAGTCCGGACTCGAGTGGACTTGGTTACTCTTCACAACCACGGGCCAGCAGGCGAGCCGCAAATATGTATCACTATAGGCGGGAACTTCAATCGTAAGTTGCGTCTAAGAGCAGAGGTCGCAGATCGCGTAACAGGACAGCATGATAAAGGCGGATGATCAAGTGGACTCTAGCGCCTGGTGCTTTTCACGCATGCAGGTTTCCTCGCACAATCGTCAAGTTCGGACTCGGGCGAACTTCGCGTTTTCACGTGGAGTGGGCTCTGCCTGTGGTCTCTCTGGTGCCCCGTGGATTGCCAAAACCATAGAAGTTCGCCCGGATCCGAATTTCATGCTTTCACGTTGAACTGTTTGTTTGGCACCGACTAGCATAAACCGTCGGTGGAAGTTAAGATTGCGGACACTGTCGTTTGATTACGGGGATTGAAGGCGGTTGCAGTGACACATTGGGCGTGCATGTGCGGTACTTGAAAGCTTGTGTAACCTCTTGAATATCCAGTTTGTGACCTGCCAAGTAGGTGTAGGCGTGGCCACGAGAGTTGCCATCTCCCAACTCTGTTCACGAGTGTCTACGTGCCTGTGTGTATCGTTTGATATGTGTGCATGGTGTGTAGGGTGCGTAATGGAAGCGATCTTCTCCACACCACGGATCATGGAGTCGATGTTCTCGACACCAAGGACCATGAGTCCTAGGACGCACACGCGCTTAGCAGAACCGTTTCCTCCGTGTGCCAAATCCGTGCGGCATTTCAACGGCGTGACTTCGATCCACGGAGCGACCAGAGAGGACTTCGAAGAGGACCCGTGGATGACCGTCGTCCCGTGCATGGACCGACATCTCGACGGTTGGCACGATGTCCATTGGGCCTTGATGGAGAGTCGCTGCCCTTGGGCAAGCCAGTACAAGTTTGCCAACATGTTAGAGTTTGGGGACCTCATCACACAGCCTGAAGCTGTCCTCGGACACAAGTTCCTCAACCGCATGCGCAGAACACTGAGCTGCATCCGCCGCCATTTCAGTCGCCTAGAGTGCCACTACGTGAGGTCGTCGCCTCGCACGTGGGGAAGCTCGCGGAAACAAGAGTTGTTGGACTGCGCTCGTCACTGCTTGTTCTTGGAGCAGTACCCGCTTCATTGCCCATGAATCTCTCCACAAGCTGTGTCATATTGTTGTGTGCGGTTGACTGTATCCAGATCTGATTTCGCCAGAGTGCTATGTGTCGCTACGTCGAACAGAAGCAGGAAACTCGTCGATTGAGTTGTGCTTGTATCACGAAACGAGGTTGCAATTGAGGGGTCCAAATTCGTGGAAGTGCGCGGGCCTGAATGTGTAGATGGGTGGCCAGATCTGCTGATAGCAGGGCAGGTCCAAAACTTTTAATTGTGGCATGAGGTGAAAGAGAAAGTGTCTAACGTACGGAACTGTATAGGGAACTCATTAGCACGACCGGGAGTGTTCGTTAGGATGAAATACATGTTCGCCTTTTCAGAAAGTGCATCAATCAAAGATCCGCAGATCCACGTTTACGGATCATCAACGAATGCTATGTACGGCTTCGGTTCACGACTTCGTGCAAAGGGAACCCAGAATGTCACTAGATCTGGACGGGCAGTCAGACCTTAAGTAGTGGAGAGAGGTGTGAGAGGCAGCAGTTGCAAGTAGACGCTATATCGCACGCTTGTGGCGCAAATCCTGAGGAATCCGCTGGAAGATGATTCCGTCCATCGTCCAACGACATTCTGATTTTCTTAATGCGCAATCGATTTCGACGAACACCGAAGTGCAAAACCCATGTCACGTACCTCGCGTCTCCCTCCAGCACCCTCTTTAAGTTTGGATCCCGGTGAACTACGGATTTCCACATGCCCATCGATCCGACTGTATTCTTCCTTGCACCCCTGGGTAGGGCGCCCACTTCATTCTAAAGTCACACGTGCGTATGGATCCCTGTTGCATCTTGGGTTGTGATAACCACACAAGAGCATTTCCAGTATTTCTCTCTACCTCTCTTTCTCGAATCCTCCTTAAGTTCGGATCCCAGCGAACTTCGCGTCCCCCCCCGAGTGCAGACGTCTCGTTTCGCCGTCTCTTTCCATGTCGCACCGTCCTTGAGTTCGGATCCTAGCGAACTTCACGTTTCAGGCTGTGCGCTGGTTTGTCTCTTGTCTTGCGTCCTGAAGCTGCGGATTGTGCTTGCACGAGCACGACTTTTGAACAATGGCTGCATGGGCGGACGCGCTTCTAGCTGTTGCCTAACCGTAAAGCAGCAAAAATTCGGGTACCGTCGCACTGTGAGTTATCGGGTAGCCTCTGCTGCGAGTGTGGTCTGCCTTATTCCCCGTTAATTTCAAATCCCGCATACATTCCGATCATGTCACTCTCTCTCCGACTCTCTCACTCTTGGACCCTCTTCTAGTTCGGATCCCAGCGAACTTCGCGTGTTTGCATGGCCGATTCGAGATCACGAAACATCTCCGCGATTGGAGGCCACAAGCCTGTCCGGCTGGGATCCGAGCTTCGAATGTTTGGCGGAGGCCAACACCCTGTCCAGCGCGGGCTTCGAATAGGTCTTGCTGCCCTTTTTGTCTCGACATGCTCGCATTCTTAAACCCCCGCCAACCGAAATCCAAAAACACTTTTCGTTGCTTACTTCGAAACCTGTGTGCGGGATGGCTTTTGTCCCGGTGTGGTTGTCGCCCGACCGCCTTCAAGATGTGGCAAACAGTCGTTCGTTGCCGTTCCGAACTGCCAAAAGCACTCTTAGGGGACCTTGTTGCGGGGTTCGGGTCCGTCTGACACACAGTTTGGCGCTGCCTGGACAGACCTGGGGTATGAGTGAGCACAAGGTCCCGGTTGATGGACCTTCTTGTTGGATCTGGATCTGTTTACAACAGAGTTTCGCACTCCAGAAACAAAATTCCCCTCCTGTTCCCACAGGTTATCAGTTGTTCGGGCAGTCTTTCGAGATAATCAATCGCAACTGCGGCGAGTTTTGTTGGCCTTCTTGTTGGATCTAGATCTGTTTACAGCAGAGTTTCACACTCTAGAAACAGAATTCCCCTCCTGTTTCCGCAGGTTATCAGTTGTTC